AAGTAATCGAATATGACATAAATGTGTCACAATTTTTTCAAATAGGACTGATATTTGAACACGTCTGTAACAGTTTCGAAGGTTTTTTTTTTTCGTTGGCAGAATAGTGTAACAATAATCTAATGATATTATTTGTATCTCTTGTTTGTATTTTTCTTCGTAAGTTAGTCCTTAACTTTTGTTAAGGTACCAATATACACACTGTGACATTTTGAGGATAGGTGTGGATGTGAATAGGTGATGAGAAATTAATTGTAGACAATGAGTTTAAGTTGGCGTCTCGTTTGCATTCCTGTAAATTCCCTGTAAACGTCGCTGAGCAATAACCCCATCTCTTTTTCCAGACGATCATAGCGACCACAAATAAGATTGTAACTTTTATATTTACAACAATGTAACAGCAATATCCCTGATAATTAAAATGAAAATTGTCTTTAGATTTCATTCCGTCAGTAAGAGTGAGATTGTTACAAAATGTAGCAAATTGAATTCATAAGATTAGATCATTTGATAGCAAATGTTCCTCACTGTATTGCATTGTTCATAGAGATTTTTCTAGGGAAATTCCGGACGAATCTTGTTTCTATCCTTGTAACTTGAAATCTTAAATGAAGTTTGGTTTGTGAACAACAGAAGTCTCTCTGATCGGAGTATTTACTTATCATTAAAAGTCGGTTACATTATAGGCATATTTGCATAAGAACCTCAAGGCTCAAGGCTGGATATCTACTCGTAATATTTAATATTTTAATAACATTAAGATTAACGTTAAGTCACTTTTTTTGGTTTTGAGAGCGATGCATATTAGTATTAGTGTAACCTTAAAACAAAGCAAAACAACACATGATGAAATCATACCAATCAAAATAACCAATGTGCTAAGGGTAATAGAGGCGTGAAGTAGAAATAAGAAATATTGTATTCACTATATTAGTAAAATTTTAAACAAAAACTGTATTGATTACAAAAATGAAATGCGTCTTATTTTGACTACGGACTTGTTTTTATATTTGAGCAGATGCGATTCGAGCAGCGCGATGCGTTATTAAAAAAAAACTGCAACCAGCACTCTGGGTGGTTCAATAAATTTATGGTATAAGAATTATAAATATTATATGAAATAATTACCATATATGATTACTTTATATTTTGGTCATATATCTTATTCAACAACACAAAAATATTCAGTGCTAATTTGTTTTTCAGAAAATAAATATTTTCTGTCTGAAACTATGCATAACTACGTGTTTTGGTGGTTTCAATCTTTATTAGTATCGAAAATTGAAATATTGCTGTGTATATACAACAGTTTATCAACTTTTTTAGGGAATGTGTTATTAAAAACAAAATTATAAACTTTTTTAGGGAATGTGTTATTAAAAACAAAATTTAACATTTCAGTTATTTACGATACTGGACGTTTTGGATCTCCTTGATTTCTGAATGCAGTTATCGAAGCAAATACATGCCTGAAGTGTTTAGTTGATCTGGACAATAGTCAACTGAATTTATCAGGAAGTTATCAGTCAAAATGCTAGATAGTGGAAGCGTGCTTTATGATTTGTATCCACGTAGATAGGCGATGTAAAGCTTCATCTTCCTACTTGAAGATTTCTGAATTACAAATTTGATTTTTAATTGAGTCTCATCAATTTAGTGTATTCTAGGTTTAGTGTATTCTATAGTTTGGTTACTTTGTCCAGAACATTGCATCAAACAGGGAAGTATGTCGACTTCTGCTATTGGAGTATTCATACATTTTAAAACAATTGTTTCTATTTGAAATTTATTTCCTGAACAAATTCCATGATAAACATTCCATATTAACACTTATCTGATCAAGTGAATGGAAATCCGCATAAGGCTGGCAAAATAAGGATTAAACATTGGACTTTGTCAACTCTATGCCCATGTACTTGACAATGGGGATTTAACATATTAATCACATAAGTTTCAAATAAATCATATCTTTAACAGACTATAACACATTTGGATCGAAACACACATCAAACTAACAAATCATGTGTTTAACTCTATGTGTCAATTTAATTTGATGTGTTGACATAAGAACGGACATCTTTTTGTGAATGTTATGGGTTTGGTACTATTTTATGATTTGGACTTCACATTTTATGGCTGATGTGTATCCAGATGATCGACTACTCTTTTAGCAGCGAATTTAATCAAGGTGTTTCACTGTTTTCTGTCGACGAGAAGACTCTTAAGTGACACACGCTTAACACCCAGAAAGTAGTATAATCCATTGCTTAATTATTCGGCTGTGTGGATCGAGCCATAGGGTTACAGACAAATTTCTGAAAGAGTCCCACAACATCGCCCAAACACATCATATTATACCAGACATAAATAAATAAATAATAAGCCGGTATTTATTCTAAACTATATTTCCAATGTGCGACCTTCCGTTGTGTCTAAATTCGATGATAAATATGAACTCTCATATCTCGATATTATATTAGCATTTATCTACAAATTACTATGAAAGAAGTGTAATCGTACCAAAATACCCTGGCACTAAAATGACATGGCAAAAGTCAATAAAACAACATTACATCAAATCAATACGAGTTTGTCCAATTAGGTTAAAAAGGACCGTTATTCAATTTTATCCACAAGACAACATGAATCCACAATGAACTACTAAAACCTAGACAAGTACTACAGTAAGAAGAACGTTTACATGGCTAATTTCAGAAACAGAATAATTGACATAACTCACCTATGTGTTTCCGAAGTAAATGGAAATGCGCTGCTGCAGTGTTGATGAGTGCAACAGTCTAGTCGATATCTCGGCCTTTTATACTCTAAGATATCGCGTGCAAACATAAAACATCAACCCTAAATCAAACGCAATGATCACAATGTGGAGAATGGAAGTAATTAGTAATTAGGACTCGAATGAATAAAAAGTCGTTTGAATGATTGATTGTGTATCAATGTTTCAATTTTTGTTTTATATCCTCGAACCAAATGTAACTAATATGTACTGTTGAATGTGTTGATATTCTCACTCTAAAATGACTAATGCCGTGTTGAATCTGACCAGATAATGTGATCGTAGACAGTTGTAAAAAAAAAGACGAAATCAATTCAATTAAGCAATTGCCATGGTTATATTGTGAATTAATGTGTTTTGTCGTCTTCATATGATATGCAATCTATCTATACAAACAATCTGAACAAAAAATACTTAGTCAGTAAACCGTGTGATATGTTGAACAAACTTAGAAGTAACAGAGGTAACAGACAGGTACATACATGTGCAATTCATACCCGGTTGGTGGAATATGTAAATAGTGTGACACAATGTTACGTTTAATGCAATAAAACACGGTTGTTATTATTATTAACTACTTCTCGCACCTTTTCTAGAACAAAGTTAAGAATTCTTTTCTTTTTCAGTTCTAACTCACAATTTTATAGCTCACGTTTCCTGTCATAAACGTTTGTGTTATAGTATTAATATATCCACCCACTCATTCATTTTGTATATTCCTAAGGCTGGTGACTGCTACAATGAGCTTATATTGACGTTTGACCTGTATATCTAGTTGATCATTTCTGGGTATATGTGTCACATGAGATTTAAGGCCGACTGCGTTATGGTTAGTGTTATTTAACGGCACATCGCACGTACTTGAACAAATCGTTCATTGTCAACATAGTTCCACAAATGCTATGATACAAAGTCAGGAACTAAAACGGTGTTGTGATGACAGTAATGAGTGCTTCCTAGATAGTAAGACAGAGGCACTGATAGTCATAGTATATTTCGAATAGGACTGCGTGTCAATAAATTAAAAAATCGTTGATGAGGTAAGCATTCATACTGATAATGAACACTAGACTACCTGCATATTTAAAAAAAAAACACTATCCCCTTTCTAAACGACAACTATTTTGTAATATATTTAATCTTAAACAGTTGTGAGTGTGAAATTGACAAATTTAGAGCTCTGTAATACCCTCATCTTTGATGCATGAATAATTTACATAAGCTTACACATGCATTATGCTGTCATATTTTTTTGTAATTCAATTGCTATGATTTAGTTGTAATGTGTTTTATTGACACGCATTCGTATTGAAGATATGATATGAGTATCAGTATTTCCAGCAGACGATTTGTTAAGTGAGTGTGTGCATGCTCGTTCGAAGTTCAAAATTCGCATGTAAGAGTTCACGTGCTCAAATTCATACAAAGTGAAGTTCAGGTGCGCATAGAAATATCCACGTTTTTCTGTAAATGCCTGATGATAGATACTTGAGTATTTCTCTATCTGCTTTATAAAAACCAAAACAAATTCGCCAAAATGGCAACACATATTAGCAAAGTGGCGAATAATTGTAGTAGGATTAAAATACCACGTGATCAACTTAGTACAAGGGTTAAATGTCAACATACGCGCATATCCATATTAGTTTAACTTTTGATTTAGGGACATTTTTTAGTAGTCACCAGCTTTAGAAATAGACGAAATGAATGAGTGGGGTGGATTTAATACATTCAAGTAATACGAAGGTTCGTGACAGGAAACGTTACTAAAAAGTATTGGTAACTAGAGTTAGAACTGGAAACAGAAACTTTGTTCCAGAAAAGTACATAATAAATAGTAAATAATAACCACATGTTATTGCATTAAAGTTAACAATGTGTCGCACTGTTCACATATTCCATCCTCTGGGTATGAATTTGACATGTCTGTAAGTGTTCCTTCACGGAACAAGGGTAAAAGTACAAATGACTGCTACCTGTGAAAACAGTTGAAAATAAAAAAAACAGTATCTAAGACTGGCAATACAATGTATACCACATTTCTCTATTAGAAACGCATATGAACAAAAAAAAACATTTATATTTGAATTATTATATTATATAAGTATGACTATAGAAACACTTCTGTAATTTTCATAAGCTACTAAAAGAGCAAATACAGTATACTGATATATAAATATAGCTCAACAGTTTAAACGAGTATTTCATTTTAGATACTAGTAAAGATTGGAACTTTTTTAAAACATAGTCATGCATGCTATGTGAAGCCACAGTACATTCACCTTTGGATGGTTTCTATAATAATTTAACATAACAAAATTCTTTTCAATTTCAGACAGATAACATTTTATTTGACTTTTTCTCAAACAATACCACTGAAAAGTTTCTGAAACAATGATCAATCATTTCAATGATTTTCAAAGAAGAGTGCATGAGGGCAACATTTAATTGCGGTGTTTTACAATTAAATTTGTCGTGCCTGTTCTAAAAATATTCGGGCAATGGCACTAGTCATTTGAAACACTAATAAATCGTGGATGTCATATCGTGATGGTTTCCAATCCCAATACGACTGACTTTGTGATGCAAATGATTTAAATATCAATTCTCAGATGTTAGTTCGATAAACACCAGTGGTGCAAAACAATGGGGCGGTCACACACTGGGCCATATATGGAGAGGAGCAGTTAATGGTACGCCGTTCATGAAGGAGGGAAAACTCGATCGTTGTATATTGCACCTGGGGTGTCAAACTTCCCAAATCTCGACAAGGTAAAGTTTACCTTTGATGTAATTTTTATCACACCAAATGTAGCAATACGAAAACTGTTTAAACAACACACTGAATATTCTTACGCTGTATGTCAATAACTATTATGACAAAATATGTGCATGAATGTCTTAGTGCTGGTACTAATTTGTGAAGTATCTAGATCACATACATAAACAAACAGTCTTCTCTTTCAAACCTTGTATTGCAATTGACTGAGACATCACAGTTAATACTCTATGGCAATAGTGCACAAAACTGCCACACCCAAACACAAACTTTGAATTTATGACATTGATTATTTCAATTATATTCGAAATGTGCTGCATCACAACTTGTAGCCGTAAATTGATTTCATTCGAGTTGAAAAACTTAGATAAATCACCCAGAGTAGTATCCAAGTTTCGGGGTGTGTCATTAACCAAGAGTTTATTGCCATGCAACGTATCGAAAACATTGAGATCTGCTGCAGAAATTCTGAAAAACTGTACATACATACAGACTGGCGAATGTCAGTCAATTAGTTCCCTTTAAGGCTGAAATGTAACACAGGTGTATACTGATAGGCCATATACATGTTTAGTTTAGGGATGAATTTTGTGTATTTGACCTCAGTAATATGTCCAGGTGTGATATGTTATTACTGTAATAATAAACAAAAACCTTAGACAAACACTAACTAGTTAGTTTATTAACGCTCACATTTGCACTAGTATAATAATAATACAGTTTTATTACAAATTCATTTTTGGCTGAAAGTAATAAAAGGTAAAGTGAAAACACACTTTCAGATACCGTGTCACATGTCTAATTAGTTTAGGATGGTTAGTATTAATAAGGATAATAAACTTGTTGATATTGTTTTCAGACTGGAAAGTGGGGATTTCCTTGGTAAATTCAGTGTACATAATGTTTTTTTCACAAGGCAAGACGTTTTCATTTCAATTTCAGAATATTGTATAGCATAACATTATTACTACAAGCAGCACAACAAAATAGTAAGGTTTTACGAGAATATCACAAAGTATGCACTCAGATAGTTTGGAAATGCTTCCATCGTCGTAATGTACTGTCTGTGCATATTTTGTGTTATTCTCGCAATAACCCCACAGAATTACCGCGAGTAGAGCACTTGTCACGCATTGTGAAACACAAACATGTATGGGTTGACCAATAGAAAGTCGTGAACGTATTTTGATTATTAAAATGAAAAAGGCGTATATTTTTTCCCCAAAATAATAAGATAAATAAAAAAATTAATCTTCATAATTCTCCAAAATGAATCTGTAAACGTTTATGACGTTCAGAATTCAGCAACATTTCCTCCCTTGTGCAGCAGCTGCTCTTGGTATTTACGAAATATTCTTACATGCTCAGAGAAGAGCAAAACATGTTGGTACAT